TTGATGTCTTTGTTTAATTTCTTTATGAATTCCTTAATATGTCTGTGTGTGTGTGTGTGTGTGTGTGTGTGTGTGTGTGTGTGTGTGTGCGTGCGTGTATAACCTCAGAGTGCACTGAACTCCAGTGAAACGGTGACTCATGTTACACACTCGTGACATTCTTTCGTGAAGCGCAGACGTCACCAATGTCAGTTGACGAGGCATGGGACTGGCCAATGAAATCTATCGGTGGGGCACACGTCAACCAATGGTAGGCCGACAATTGTAGAGGGGGCGGGACAAATGTCAATTTTGCCACTGGCAGAAAGTGAGTGAAGAAGTCCGTCAAAGCGAAAAAAAGGGAAGATGGCGAAAGGTAGTCGGAGCCTGAGGAAAGTAGCGGAGTGCATCAGACACTTTCCTTCTGCTGCCAGCAGGGAAACACACTTAAGGAACAGCGTAAGGTAAAGTATTTTATATATTTAATCTGGGTTAAAACTGGGAAGTGTCAAATGAGGACACACCGCTGAGAAAAACAAAAAGTTAGCCATAACACCTAAGATATCCAGCTGGGAATGAGTTATCAGTGGTGTTAAGTAACTAAGTAGATTTACCCAAGTACTTAAGTGCAATTTTGAGGTAGGCTTGTACTTAACTTGAGTATTTCAATGTTGTGCTACTGTGTTCTTCTACTCCACTACAGTTCAGAGGTAAATGGTGTACTTGTTTTACTCCACTACATTAATACCTTTAGTTACTTTACAGATCTGGATTAATGATGTGAAATATAATCAAGTGTTAAATCAGACTTTAGTTCTTTAGTTGGAGCAAATTCACAAGCTAACCTGCAGTATACAAAGTCATTAAAAGTAGCTGCACCTTTGATAACACTTTAATGATCAATCATTATAAAACATGATCTTATAAAAAAGTCAAATCAAGCAATCTGATATAATGAGCGTACATCACGGGTAGAATTGTAGTTACTTTTCACAAGTCAGTAATGTATCCCTCCACGTCTAACAAAGCTTAAGATGGAAAGGTTAACTTCGACCTCCGGGGTACTATGGAGGAGTGGATTGAGCAGTCAGTGCCTATCTTCAGAAAGCACCTAAACGACGACATGCAGAGCTACGTGAAGGGCAGGTACCAACTGGAAAAGTACCACCATAAGCTTTCTGATGCGGGTCTTGCAACAAAGCAGATAAATGATGACCGTTAGTTGCCACAAGTGCAAAAGCTCTCTCCAGAGCTACTGGAAGCCGAATCTCGGGGACCGGAGAAAGTGGAGAAATATTCTCGCCACGCTAAGCAACAGCCTATATAACAACCTCAACCTAGTACAAGTAACCTCGTAAGCCATTCTACTGATGCTGGACAGTTTTTCAGTGGGTGCACAATAAACGGCAAAATACAAATGAATGTAAATAATCGATCAACGGCGTCTGTGTAATATGCTCGCTTGCTGGCCTGTCCACACGGCAGCGTGTGTTGCTTCAACGGAGACACTTCCCATTCACTTTGAAGGGTGACGTCAGGCTTTGCCGAACTGCATTGTGGTTCCGTCGCTTCGCTTTGCCTCCGTTGCGCGCTTCAAAAGTTGAGAAAAGTTCAACTTTTCAAGCTTCGACGGAAGCGTCAGCCAATCGAATCATATGCCAGTACAAGCGTTAGCCAAAAAAAAACGCGTGCTTGTGTGTCCGGGACGGAAGATTCATATGATTGGTTGTTGGTCACCCACCAGACACGCCCACCTTCAAGCTTCAACCTCAACGCGACGCTGTGTTGCATAGCAACCACCTCGCACTATGTTTTGTGCAGAAGTCAACGGAGTGACTATTTTATTTTTAACATCATGATTTACTAATAACAACTATTTAAATTGGAGGGTGTATTTTTCTTTTTTTATAAAAGCAATAGCTCACTTCAGGCCGTGATAGTTGTCGGCCCGACGCGATTTAGCTGTGATATAATGACCCTAACCACGGCCTGTCGTGAGCTATTGCTTAAATATATGTTATTTTGAAATGAACCAATCTGCATAATGAGTACTTTTACTACTTTAAGTATATTTTGATGCTACTACTTTTTTACTTTTACTTGAGTAACATTTTGAATGCATGACTTTTACTGTAACGGAGTATTCCTACACTCTGGTTATGGCTCCTTCTACTTCAATCCACAACATTTATTTGTTGGTTTATATTCGTATAAATAATATGACCAAAATAAATTATGAATTATTGTCATAGATTAAAATAAAATTCATATGCTAGCAAGCAAATAAGTAAAGGTATTCTAAAAATCACAATTTTATATAAAACACAAGATCAATATACCAACAATTGCTCAAATTTAATAAAAGTAATGCACATCAATTATGATCCTGTGATATACATATGTTATTTAAAAATGGGCCATTCTGCATTTGGTTCTGAGCTCTTGGTATTTATGGAAGCATTTCTTACTACTTCAGCCTGACCCTTCTTCCAAGAAAGACAAAAGTGGTAGCTATATTTGTCAGGATTTTTAGAACCTGTGGCAGCTGTTGCAATTGCACTGAGTTTTTGCAATATCTCTGGACACACATTTTCTGTCTGGGGCTTAAAACCCTGCTCAGGAACAGGTGTTTTATGCCAGCTGACAAGTGTTAGTTTAAGATAAGCCCCCTGCAGTAAGCCCCCGGGAAGAGCACCAGACTCTGAAACCACTTTCGGTAGTGGCCAAACAGTGGACACGCATCTTCCGTGTCAGTCTGTGGGGCCATGTGGCCAAAGAGACATGTTGCTTATGAGGACTAACATCAGGAAAGAGACGTCTGTTAATAATCAGATTTAGGTAAACCTTCCAGTAATAATTCATTCACAAGTCATTTGGTTTCAATATGGCTTCATGCACGCCTGAGCAATTCTTCTTATACCCCGTCTCTTATATTTTGTTACTGGTAATTTGTATTTCATGCATTTTTCCATATGTATATTTTTTAAACTTTTTAATGCTATTTTTTATTTCTACTTCAGAAATATTTTGGATTGTTTATTTCTCTGTCTTATTTTCTCTTATTGCCTTGTTTTTTATGCTGCTGCAACCCAAAACATTCCCAAATCTCCGGATCAATAAAGTAACCTACCTACCTACCTACCTACCTACCTACCAGTACCTACCTACCAGTACCTACCTACCTACCTACCTACCTACCAGTACCTACCTACCAGTACCTACCTACCTACCTACCTACCTACCTACCTACCTACCTACCTACCTACCTACCTACCTACCTACCTACCTACTTACCTACCTACCTACCAGTACCTACCTACCTACCTACCTACCTACCTACCACTACCTACCTACCTACCTACCTACCTACCTACCTACCTACCTACCTATCTATCTATCTATCTATCTGTATCCAGTTTTCTTTATATATATACGCTGCACTCTCTTTTTGTGAAACTTTAAAAAAGATCCAAGTCAACCTCTGACACAATGTCCTGGAAGTTGGCTCCATGATTAAAAGAGAGGTAGTCTATACACTCTTAAAACAAACAATTTGGCAAGTTTTTGATCAGTTTCTTTGCCTTTTTAGGTCAAAATGTTTCTATTAAACTTGTGATATTCACAGTGCGAACCACCCTGTTTGTCCTACATCCGTGCACTATTTTGGTCTTTGATGTGCACACTCACTGTCCTCTTCCTTTGCCCACATTTCTGCACCTATAAACTTGATCGGTCTTGTCAGTCTGAGGTCGCTGCCCATGTGTCTGATGTATCACATTTCAGGTAGTAGTGCCCTGCAGGCCAATAATGGAGCAGGAATCCCAAGCAGTGCGTCACGAGAAGCACAGAATAGGTTAAGCTGATGATGATATTAAGATGACATTAAGTGGTGACATAAGAGCTGCGTGAATCCGAACACATGCCCTGGGTGTCTATGCCAGGGACATTGTGGAACAGGGAGACATCAAAGTGTGTGTCTCTGAGCTGAGTTTTATGGTCATATTGAAGTTACGAACCACCCAGGATTAAAAGTCCTCACATTCATGGAGTCTCTGAGGACTTCAGGGTTAGAGAACATGATCCCACTGATCCATATAATCAGAAAACAGCACTGTGGAAAGAAAGGGATCGAATTGGGACGTTTTATGATCCTGATGATTGATCGTTTAGTAGTGGATTTTTATTTTTTAGTCATTAAGATTTTTAGTCAATTTCACATTTATATACAGAAATGAAAAAGATACACATACGATATAAAAGGATTCATAGTCAACTACGGTAGAAATTGCAAAGATTTTTTTGGGGAAAAACAAAATACAACTTATATATTCGGAAAAAATATGTACAATTTCTTTCCTCAGAATTCTGACTAATCACAGAACGAAAAACACTTTTGGTTAGATTAAAATAACATCTTATGCCCCTAACCCTCATCTGTATTTTAAAAACTTGACCCAGAAAATGCTTGGATTGTCTTCTTAATACATGACTGAAAAAAGATGTAGGAAACATATATTTCCATCCACAGACAAACTGATAAACCAACACATTTGTGGCACTTGATATTAAAACGTTGGAGCCATGTGTAGCCTAATCATGTCTCTACTCCCCCAGGCAAAACAGAAAATATGCACTGTATACTTTATAAGTAGACGCCGGGCAAGGTTAGTGCCCTTGTACACCTCATTTGATTTTGATTTGATGTGTCACAGTAAATGTGAATGAATCAATTCAGCAGTTGTTGCGAGAAGGTTTTCTGTGGGAAATATCCAAGGAGTGTGAGTGGCAGCTTGTTGCTCTCACATTGATTTACAGGTATTGTAGGGTAATTAACACCAGGCTTTATCAATGAGTGTACCGTCACAGAGAAAAGGGTTTCAGGTTTATGTGTGAGGCTAGAAAATACAGAAAACAACAAGGCAAGATTATCTATAGAGCACTATTCAGACACAAGGAGATTCCAAGTGCTTTAAATTAAGGGCATTGAAACATATAAATTATATCAAACACAAGGCATTAAAGGTGGGGTATGTAGTTTATTTCAGAAACACTTTTTATTATATTCCATGGAATGCTCTTAACATCCCGATAGCAATGAATACATTAAATGCTTTGACAATAAATCCATAAAAAATGTCATCTGTGGAAGCCGTAGCGCTGTAAAAAGCACGACCAATCATCTGAGCCGGCCCGGCTAAAGTAACTGGATGGCCTGGTGATCCTTTTCCCCAGTTTGTGTGAATATTGTGTGTTTTGTGCTCAGATACCTGTCGTCATGTGGGGTCCTGAACACTCACGTGCCCCCCCGCCCGGGTGCAGCCATGTTGGGGCCCGTCGTCACGTTACCCGTCCGCACCTTCTTCAACCTGGCCGACACCTTCTCCAAGAGGAAGGAGTACTCCGAGAGACGCGTCATCGGGTGAGTCCATGGTCATGTGATGCAGGAAAATTACGTTTAAAAAAACAAAAGTGTTTCTGTTTATTGGGTTTTGCATTACACAGCTGTTACATTAGAGCAGAGAGGGCAACAGTACACACATCCTTTACTCAAGTAGAAGTACAGATACTCATGTTTAAAAATACTCTGGTGAAAAGTAGAAGTACTGACTAAACT